TGATATTCAAAAACGAGTAACTATATACTCGTTGACGATTTTTACCAATCAATCACTACCTTACAATTATGAAAATATTCTACCATTACGAAAAAAAACAAAATCAAATTGTACACAAAAAATAAAAAGATATACAAAATCAACGACGAAAATCTTGCGAAAAATCGGCTAGAAGCATTTTATCACATAATACCAACCAAAAACATATTAATATATAGCAAAATGATGACATAAAAATAAATAATGAAAATTGTAACTATACAAACAAAAAAAAACAATATTTTATCTTATATTACTTACTATAATTATTTATCATATACCTACCAAATTATTTTAGTATACATGAGACTTCTTAGAAAGAAATAAGATGTTCTTTTAAAGTGAAGATATTAACATAAAACATTAAAAACCATGATAAATATATTTCAATATTATACTATCATACATAGTTATAGTAAAAATTATAAAATTTGCAAATTAAAAAAAAAAATCCTTTCAATTAAAACACTAATATATTTGTAACTAAAATAAAAGTATTATAATAAATKAATACACTAACGAGTGACCACTGTGGAATGGCAACGAACCAAGATAAATACACAAAATTGATTACTCAAGTSCTTTGAACTTATAATAGTGTAGGATATTAAAATCCAAATTCAGAAAATGTTAGTCTTATTTTGATTTGTCATCGCCGTGGTTAATTTAAATGTCTATCCACTATAATTGTTGTTTATAATAAAACCCTAAATAACAGATATGTAAATTAAATATTATAATTTTGATTTTGTTGAATAGTGACAATGACGCCCGAAAGTGTAATATTTTTCATATATTAAGTTGACATAACTATATTATTTTTACGATAGTTAAGACTACAATGTTGTTGAGTGAATATGTTAACTATGAGGTGATTACAATTTTAAATATAAAAACTTAAAAATGTAAATTAAATGTGATTCTAACAAACATAGATTATGTTGTATACTTATATAATGATAATGCTAGCAAATATATAATATTCATACTTGATCTGTAATCATATTTTTATGATTAACAATTAGATTCAAAAGAAACATAAATTTACCAAATAATTTAGGCGAAAAAACGTGAACATAATAGTATATATTAGATAAATTAATATTATATTTGTAACCAACGATATATAAGCAAGGATACTCAACAAATTGTATACATCCATATATTTTCTTGGGTTACGATTATTATAAAAACATAAGAAATAAACAAGAAGAAAGAAAGAAGGCCAATTGATCTACGATTTTACATGAGTTTAGACC